TGAATTGTCAGATAATTAACATTTTTTGGTTAATGGACTTTATGATAAAATTGTATCTAGTAAAGGTTACTCCTGATGTTTATCTAATATATTACCCAATTTCATTCTATGAAAAAAATGTAAAATGTTTGGATGCGTACAGTGATAGTGTCAGGATAAATTATACCTTTTCAAAATTGGTTTTATATTTCGTTTGAAAAATGTCATATCTTATAAAATAGTGAACGTTTTGGCATATGAATGGCAACACTATTAGTAAAAAAGAGTCATTTTTCGAAGTTTTGATAACTTCAATGGTGAATGCATTTCTCAGAAGTGACTGGTCATGGATGCTGGCAATGTCAGTAATAAATGTTGATATTTAAGATGACCAATTAAATGCTGGCTTTTAATGTAGTTATACTTTGTATTGAGATTGATTTATTAATTGCAAATTTATTATTACATATCAACTTCTTATATTTCTTCATTTCTGTATGGAGTTAATTCAAGTATTTCTTGTTTTATACAGAATTTATTTTAGTTTAGTTGTGTAGGAAGCTTAAAGCTTATAGACACTCTCTATTGAGTCAATAATTACCTGACACAGATGTTCATCACAATGCGCAAAAATCATTTTGTATTAGATTAACTCCTATTAATTACACATATAGTAATAATAAATTGAAGATCAGACTGATATGCCATAGTTGTGAATGGATTAAAAAGATCTTTAACAATATTATAACATGTAATTGTTTATTTTTGGTCAACTATAACCTTGTAAAGTTGTTCACTATTGAATCCCAAAGATTTAGTTACCGCATTGTCAAATATCCAACATTTGATATTCTATGCAAAATTCATTAAATTTTTGTTGTTGATTTGAATGAAGTGCATTTTAATATATCAGTGTTTTTAGTAAAATTCACGGATGAAAAGGAACTATGTCATAATTATGATGAAATTTTGAAATTTAGTAAGTTTTTTGTATATAAAAATATAATTAAGATTCAGGAAATTTTACCTTTGAGTGTACATGCATTTTTGTTACATAATAACAGTTTTTGGTGAAGTTTGATGAAGAAACCTTTAATCCGGAAAATTTGAAGTTCAGGACAAGGCCTTTTTGATTAACTTGCAATAAAATAGTGGTAAATTTGTAAATTTATAATACCGGTAATCAAAATACAAAGTACAAAAGAACTGGAATCATCAGTTACTCTTGGCTTAGTGGTTCAGGCGTCCACCTTCGGATCGGGAGGTCGAAGGTTCGAGCCCCACGGGGAGTGTTAATGTCATATGATGCAATTTTGAAATTTATTAAGTTTTTTTTTTACATTATAATATATAAGATTCAGGAAATTTTACTTGTGAGTGTACGTGCATTTTTTCTAGCTCTTGTACATGATAATTACAGTATTTGGTGAAGTCTGATGAACAAACCTTTGTTAATTTTTACTTAATCTTGAAAATTTTAACACGTACAGCCTTCTTGATTGACTTGCAATAAAATAGAGGAAAATTTATAATTATCAAAGTACTTAAAGTACAGCAGGACTGGATATCAGGTACTCTATACTTCTTTCAGTGCAACCTGAATTATGTCTTTAATCTGAGTCTTAAATAACTAAATTGTAGTGATAAAATTGCCGGCCCATGAACAAAATTCTGATGAATTTTAACAATGCCTATGAGATGATGTAACAATATCATTGTAAATTTTCTTTACCAAATGTAAGTGAATTTAGAACAAGACCAACAAAAAATTGGTTAGTTTTGAACAAAATTGCAAAGGTTTATGAAGTTTGGAAAAAGATCTTGATAAATTTTGAACAAGATTTAAATAGATTTTAACATGATTTCACCAAGACCTTGGTGAAAGAACAATTAAGTCTTCACTTTTGCACATTTTGAACAAAATCATTGCAAATTTTGAACAAGAGTGACTTGTAGTTAACCTTGATGGATATTGCAGTATATATCTGTGTTGATTCAGTGCCGTCTTGGTGATTTTCTAATAAGATCTTGATGAATTTAGAAAAAATACTGAAGTGAATTTGAACAAAATCTTGATGATCGAATACAAAAAATATATTTTGAATTTTAAATTGTATCTTTGGACCAAAATCTTTTATAATTTTGAACAAGATCATGGTTAATTTTGAACAAATTCTCAAGAAATGTTTCAGTAAATGTTGAAATACCATGCTAGCTTGTGCCTGAAACAATTACACCATGTATCACTTAGGGTCGTCCCTAGAGACTTGTCATTTAACAATAATTATATCAATGTCACTTTAACTCAACATGATAGATAAAATAATTGTATTACATAGAAAAAAGCATTTCCGTGCATTTTTTATCTTGTTATCTTTTGATAATGTGTTCTTGTTAACTTGAATAAAATGTTTTATGTATGAAATTCATTTGAATATGTTAACAGATTTGTAAACTTAAATAAGATGTTTTTACTCCCATTTATTATAGCTGAAATCTTGGGCACTGAATTAAACTCTAAAATGACATTACATTGAGATATATCTGATCTAATAAATGCAGATATATATTGTCATAGTTAATACATGGCTGTGTTATATATAATTCAGGTGTGAACAAATTACATAATTAATGGAAAATGTGACTCATTTATTTGATAAGCTTCATACATGTATACTAATGTGATGTATGCATTAAAATGTACGATATATGTAAAATACATAAAAGCATAATACAAAAAATGACTTTCTGTGAAGAAATGTATCTCAAAAACTTAACACCCCTTTTAGAGTAACTAACTGTCAGTAAAGAAATGTATCTTATTTAACACCCCTTTTAGAGTTATTGACTGTCTGTAAAGAAATGTATCTTATTTAACGCCGCTTTTAGAGTTATTGACTGCCTGGAAAGAAATGTATCTTATTTAACTACGCCCCTTTTAAAGTTATTGACTGCCTGGAAAGAAATGTATCTTATTTAACACCCCTTTTAGAGTTATTGACTGTCTGTAAAGAAATGTATCTTATTTAACGCCGCTTTTAGAGTTATTGACTGCCTGTAAAGAAATGTATTTTATTTAACACCCCTTTTAGAGTTATTGACTGTCTGTAAAGAAATGTATCTTATTTAACGCCCCTTTTAGAGTTATTGACTGCTAGTGGAAAGAAATGTATCTTATTTAACACCCCTTTTAGAGTTATTGACTGCTAGTGGAAAGAAATGTATCTTATTTAACACCCCTTTTAGAGTTATTGACTGCCTGGAAAGAAATGTATCTTATTTAACGCCCCTTTTAGAGTTATTGACTGCTAGTGGAAAGAAATGTATCTTATTTAACACCCCTTTTAGAGTTATTGACTGTCTAATTTATGAAATGAAAATAGATTTTGATTGTCTTGCAATATTGACATGAGACCCAATAATTTTTTTAATTATTTTTGTCAGTTTCTGTGATTTCTTCCAATTCAAAAATTTACTTTTATGATAGTATTGTAATCAATTACTACAATTTTTAAAACTTTTTATGAAAATTAGCATGAATCTGGAGGACATAATTGCTGCTTTAAAGGTCATGATGTCCTCGTACATCACATGTTGGATCATAAGTACATTCACCATCTAAAATATCCAACACCCATTAAATAAAACCTGGTGATTCAATTAAATTACCAAACATAGTGGTCAATTTACTTTAAAATGAAATACTGAAAAAAAAACGAAAAAAACATATCTTACACTGCATTAAAACTTACATTGTTCAGTTTCAAAGACTAACATTTTAACACTAAGACCAATGGGACATGTAATATACAAAATGCTTCAAAAATATACATATATAACTGTATTATGCCAAAGAAAGGTCAATGAATATTCAAATGTCTCGGGTTAATATTGCCAAACAATATAATGACACAAAATTGTTGCCTTTGGCTAAATGTTTACTGACAGTATTTTAATGTGTGAACCAGACAAGTCGGTTATATTTTGATTGTAACTAAAACTCTTCTTATTTAAATCAAGGTAAACAATGTTGTAATTTGCCCACACCTGAATACACAGCCATGTATTGATAGTGCATATACTTAACCTGATTTTCATTCATAGATAATTATAATTGAAATTAAAGGGGCCAATTTGATAGAATTAAACTCAATACTGGATAGTTACAAAGATTCCCTGGCTGTTTTTGTTTGTTTTTGATTAGGTTTTACGTCACACCGACACAGTATAGGTCATTTGGCGACGTTCCAGCTTTACTGGTGGAGGAAGACCTCAGGTGCCCTTCCGTGCATTACGGGCACCTGAGTATATATAGTTTAAAGTATATCTAAGATACATCAATCACAGATGACAAATATCAATAATAACATTTGTTTATAGCAAATTATAACTTATCTATATTTCACATACTTGTTTTTATGATTTCAGAAAAACATATGTTCTGTGCATACAATTATATATTATTAACACAATATCGATGAACCACTGCAAGTTTTAATTCCATTTATATCAGTTTTGCCCATTACATTACAACAGTTTAGGTTTAAACATGTCTTTTTAACTGCAGAGCACCTGCTTCCATTTTTGATTTGCGTTAATTATCATCATTTCTAAAAAAAAAAATATCAATTAGTCAAAATTATTGATTTTTTTCATATCTGTAATGTACTAGTAATTGATGAACAGAAAACTATCAATAATATGTCAATATCGCTTCTATCGATGACAACTCTACTTTGAAATTGTTTTACATTTGAATGTTTTACTTTAAGCATTGTAGATGCAGTCTAAGCTTAACAAGCTTCTGGTTTGTTTATTTTTCCATATAATGAAAGAATTCACCAGTTACATGGCTACATTTATCATTAGTTACTTCTATTTTTATTCAAAAAAAAAAGTATTGCCCTTGAACTTACATTTAAGATATGTATAAAATGATTCAGCTTCACAGTTGCTAAATATTGTGTATGTAAGATATAATTTTATGTGATGTAATTTTATTTATTTTCTCACCCTTACAGGATAACTGAAGGTTTATATATGACAGCGTAAAGTACCAACTTTAACCCTGGAGAGCCAAAACAAACAAAAAGAAGTGAAAACAAATCTGGTGCAAGATTAACGTTTGGTAAACATTGACAGGAAATACCATCTGATTAAACACCGCATGCTGTGATTGTCATCTAACCGGAGATTAACTTGCAGACAAGCACCTGCTCCTGGAAGACAAGTCCGGGGAAACAATGTCAGAAAAACCGATGCTGAGTAACAATACACGTCCTCCGCAAGTAGCGGGCACACCAGTACAAAAGGTGAGAAAGTCTTTGTTATAATTGTGTGTATTAATTGTTTGTTTTTTTATATAACCTGACCAAATAGCAGAAATACAACAGATATATAATCTGACCATATGGCATAGATATATAACCTGGCCATATAGCAGGAATACAATAGATATATAATCGGACAATATAGCAAAAATACAACAGATCTATATGACCTGACCACATAGCAGAAATACAACAGATATATAACTGGACAATATAGCAGAAATACAACAGATATATGACTTGACTGTATAGCAGAAATACAACAGATATATAACTGGACAATATAGCAAAAATACAACAGATATATAACCAGACAATATATCAGAAATACAACAGATATATAACCTGACCATATAGCAGAAATACAACATATATATAAGACCTGACCATATAGCAGAAATACAACAGATATATAACCAGACAATATATCAGAAATACAACATATATATAAGACCTGACCATATAGCAGAAATACAACAGATATATAACCAGACAATATATCAGAAATACAACATATATATAAGACCTGAACATATAGCAGAAATACAACAGATATATAACCAGACAATATATCAGAAATACAACAGATATACGAGGATTGTTCAAAAAATTCGTGCACTGCCGTTATTGTCTTGAGAGTTATTAATAAAAACAAATGAATTATATATCACTTGAAAGAGAAATCTGTCTCAAATAAGAAAACAAAAGAAAAAGCCGAGTAACCGGCGTGTCGTGTAAAAGACTAAACATTGAGTTACCTTAGTAACGTAATACCGGCGCAAGACAAAAAATTGGGTTAGTTCATTACTGTAATTGTATTGTATGTTGCTTGCAAATATAAAGTGGTATTTGCTTTTTATGTTATAATTTGTTTTACTGTCAATAGAGGAATGATTGATGAAAAGTATTGTGTAGTTTTTATTGTTATGCCCCCGCCATATAATGGCAGGGGCATATAGTGTTACCCTGTTCCGTCATTCCGTCATTCCGTCCTTCCGTCATCATCAGTTTCCGTTCATTATCTTAATAACCCTTGCACATATTGAACTCAAATTTGACATATGGATATGTCATGAGAAAATACAGGTCAAGTTCGAAAATTGGTCATGGTTCGATGATTTTTGGCAGAGTTATGCCCCTTTTACATTGAAAATAATGTGAAATTTTCAGTTTCCGTTCATTATCTCCCAAACGGTTCAAAACATTCAATTCAAAATTGACATATGGATATGTCATGAGAAAATACAGGTCAAGTTCGAAATTGGTCATGGTTCGATGATTTTTGGCAGAGTTATGCCCCTTTTACTTTGAAAATAATATGAAATTTTCAGTTTCTGTTCATTATCTCCCCAACGGTACAACACATTCAACTCAAACTTGACATATTGATATGTCATGAGAAAATACAGGTCAAGTTCAAATTTGGTCATGGTTCGATGATTTTTGGCAGAGTTATGCCCCTTTTACTTTGAAAATAATATGAAATTTTCAGTTTCCATTCATTTACTCCCCAATGGTACAACACATTCAACTCAAACTTGACATATGGATACGTCAAAGGAATGCGCAGGTCAAGTTCAAATTTGGTCATGGTTCAATGATTTTTGGCAGAGTTATGCCCCTTTCACTTTGAAAATAATATGAAATTTTCAGTTTCCGTTCATTATCTCCCCAATCGTACAACACATTTAGCTCAAACTTGACATATCGATACGTCAAAGGAATGCGCAGGTCAAGTTCAAATTTGGTCATGGTTTGATGATTTTTGGCAGAGTTAAGCCCCTTTTACTTTGAAAATAATATGAAATTTTCAGTTTCTGTTTATTATCTCCCCAACAGTATTAAACATTCAACTCAAATTTGACATATTGATATGTCAAAGGAATGCACAGGTCAATTTCAAATTTGGTCATGGTTAAATGATTTTTGGCAGAGTTATGCCCCTTTCACTTTAAAAATAATATGAAATTTTCAGTTTCCGTTTATTATCTCCCCAACAATATTACACATTCAACTCAAATTTGACATATGGATATGTTTTTGGAATGCGCAGACCAAGTTCGAATCTGGTCATGGTTCAATGATTTTTGGCAGAGTAATGCCCCTTTCACTTTGAAAATGATATGAAATTTACAGTTTCTGTTCATTATCAACCCAACAGTGTTACATATTCAACTCAAAATTGACATATGGATATATCAAAGGAATGCGCAGGTCAAGTTGGAATTTGGTCATGGTTCGGTGATTTTTTTGTGAGTTATGTCCCTTTCACTTTGAAAATAATATAGATACATCTTAGGAATAAGCAGTTTAAATTTGAATTTGGTCGTGGTTCAATGATTTTAGACAAACTTATCTTTCCTGAATGTTGGAAAAATTTTGAACTTTCAGTTTCAGCACTCATACTTTTGTGGAAATGTATATAGCCATTATGTTGGCTACACATATGCAATATGCTATTTTTAAAAGGTTAAGACTGAATAATTTCAGTGCCTTGAACATTGTATAAAAATGGTTAAGACTGAATAATTTCAGTGCCTTGAACATTGTATAAAAATGGTTTGTGTTAACATTGAAAAGTTTTAAGGGCTTTGAACTTCGAATGAAAAAAATAATTTGTGCAAATAAATTTGGAACTAAATATTATAAAATTTGAAATTTTGGCTGCATGCGGGGGCATCCGTGGCATGATGACACATTTCTAGTTTTTTATGCAACGTTCATGTAGCATATTCCAACAGTGCAGGAATATATTGGACAACCCTCGTCACATGCGCCGGCATTACGGACGGACGTCTGCCTGACTGGTTGTCATCGTTTACCGACTCTCTTTCTCTTTCACAGAGCGTTTGTGCCATTTTAAAAACAAGCCTTCGTGACACTGAACTTGTCCCGCTTGCCCTTTTAAGTTCTTTGTAGGTATCTGTTGGTGATTTACTAATATTTGCACCAAATTTAATGATCGTCCGTATTTTCAGACGTTTAGCGACTGACATTTTCACGTAATTACAGTATTGATGACCGCACACAAATGTTTGTTTACGACTGTTACAATAGGGCAAATGACACCATATTTTCTAGTGACGTTAGGAATACGTACAGACACTTTTTCCTGAATTTTAACGTTATTATGTAGTGTTTTAAGAATACCGTGATGCATCAAAGTAATGAACTAACCCAATGTTTTTGTCGTGCGCCGGTATTACGTTACCAAGGTAACTGTATGACGATTCGTTTTCAGGACATGCCGGTTACATGTTTTTTTCTTTTGTTTTCTTATTTAAGATATATCTCCCCTTCAAGTGATATATAATTAATGTTTTTCTATCAATAACTCACACGACAATAACTGCAGTGCACGAATTTTTTGGACAACCCTTGTATAACCTGACCATATAGCAGAAATACTACAGATATATAACCTGACCATATAGCAGAAATACAACAGATATATAACCAGTCAATATAGCAGATATATAACCTGACCATTTAGCAGAAATACAACAGATATATAACCGGACAATATAGCAAAAATACAACAGACATATATGACCTGACCATATAGCAAAAATACAACATATATATAACTGGACACTATAGCAGAAATACAACAGATATATGAACTGACTGTATAGCAGAAATACAACAGATATATAACTGGACAATATAGCAGAAATACAACAGATATATGACCTGACCATATAGCAGAAATACAACATATATATAACCTGACCATATAGCAGAAATACAACAGATATATGACCTGACGATATAGCAGAAATACAACAGATTATAACCTGACCCTATAGCAGAAATACAACATATATATATATTACCTGACCATATGGCAGTTATACAACATATATATAACCTGACCAAATAGCAGGAATACAACAGATATATATGACCTGACCCTATAGCAGAAAAACAGATATATAACCAGACAATATAGCAGAAATATAACAGCTATATCAACTGACCAAATAGCAAAACATAATTGATACATAACCTGACCAAATAGCAGAAACATAATAGATATAGATGTTATACATCACTTGCCCTAAATATTTGATTGATACAACCCTATCACAGGCCTCTAGCACCTGAGTATTGTTCTAGGATTGTTTGAAATTTTATCAGAAACTATATCAATAGCAGCTGGTTGTATATATTCACCTGGAGATGTTTGATTTAAAAAAATGATAACAAATTATAATAAAGCATTATTGACCTTCAGCATGCAAGTGGCAACATATGTTACCATGTGACCAGTACAGACAAATATCAGCAGATACATCTTGACTGGTACCTTTTTAACTGTTGTTTCTGTTCAATAATATATACAGATAAAGGTAGCTGACATGTGTTACTTTAGTTGTTTTTCTTTCTCCTTTTCTTTGTTGTTCTGTTAGACATGAAACATTACTTTTTTTTCTAGGAAAACCTTCACTTTTGTGTGACATTAGTTTCAAGTATGAAGTTATTATCTATTTGGTCAGATGAAAACCTCTCACATTAACAACATTTACTGCATTTGGCACAACTGTTTCATTGTTAAATATTTATCAAAAAATGTTGAGGAAACAAGGTAGTTTCTTGTTGTTGTTTTTTTGTTAATACCCTGGTGACTTGGCTTATGAAAGGTCACGAAGTAATCTTGTTATTGTTCTGCTGATAATTATACTTGCCTTGCTTTTGATATAAATGTATATATTTGGTTTTATTGTGTCCATAACAAACAATTAAGGTCAGAAGTTCTCATTTAGTATATAAGTTTATTGATTTCTTTAATAACTGTCAACATAAAGAATTATATTCAGGTGCCCTCATTTAGCAGTATAACTTCATTGTGATTCCTATAATAACTGTCACAATTGATACTTTTCAAATTGACATATAAGAGAAGCCAGTCTCAGATGACCAAAATAAAACATTGTTCTATAATAGGAGGCAAAATTGTAGCAACAGAAATGTGTTGATTT